CTTTTCTTGTTGAACAATGATGGTTCGAAACCAGCAGTAACTTCATTTGGTAGTAATAGTTAACTATTTATGTATTATGGATGGTTTATAAAGAGTCAAGAGACACTGCACGCCGCATGCCAACAGAAACAATCCGCACGTGACCTTGGGTACGCGTGCCTAAGGTGGCATGCCGCCCTTGCCCCAGGGGTGTCTTAAGAGTCCGTTTCCGGACCCTAATTTATCCTCCTCTGGCTTAATATCCTCTGAGTCCCCAGTTCTCTCCTCGCGCTGTAGTTCACAGGCTTCATCTAGAAGCCCTCAGACAAGGTGTGAATGGAACGCACCTAGAGAGCTGCCCTCTTTTGTCTGAGAGCTTCAGTTTTAGACTCGTCCCAATCATGTTCTGACGCAAGTCTCACTCCAGCTGTGAGTCCCAATGGCCGAGCCTCGTCCCCGGTCCCCGCCACGACCGAGTTCTCAATAGCTCGACGGACGATGATGAAGATTAAGCCACCCAAAAGGTGGCACGGGCATGAATAGCCCGTAAGTGGTGGCCCTTATGAGCCATAACCAGTATCAAGAGCTGATACTGGAGATCTGTGGAGGTGCGACTGCACCCTGCGTGACGGGAGATGTCTCCCGTGTGTCCAAGATCGACGGACATCGTTGTTGTTGTTTTAGATTCAACTACTCAGAACAATAAGTTCCAGTAGCACGGGCTATGGCGAGCCCGTAAAGACGGACATCCCTCCTGGCGACTTCTATCTGTCGCTTCAGCCTCCAGGGGGCAGGTAAGTCACCTCTCCTCCTCCTCGCCATCTTCACTACCATCACTAGCTAAGATGTATCCCGCTTCTTATTGCAGTAACCGGTTGGCGTCTTGCAGTGACTGTGACCTCTGCTGATGCTATACCCCCCCCCATCACCCCCCCAAGGGACAATGCAATTTGTTTGCAGTTCCGTCAGTGAACATTGTCTGTACACAAGGGCGAATGACGCTTTTTGTACACCCGAAGAAATATCGATTATACTTGTGAATATCCTTTTTTTCTGTTAATATTTCAATAGACTCTAATTAAACCTAATTCCTTTTAATTAGGAATTTTTATCATCCTTTTAATAAGCAGTAAAATAGGTACCAGGGTGTTAGTCAGCTGTCACGGGCTGCTTCCTGGGGAGTGGAGGCCTGGTCGAGGACCGGGCCGCGGGGACACTAAAAAGCCCCGAAATCATCTGAAGATAACCTAATCTAACGGTGACCGGTCTGAGACGTATTGTAAGATTTTGTTGATAGAATCTATCCTGAAGGCTGCGCATAATACACGGTTAACAGTCTTGCTGTTTTTTTCCTCTGTTTACGTGAAAGAATTTCTCTATTAATCATGAGAAGGTGTGTAGTGTTTACTGGGTGCTGGCGCAGTGGCTGTGGCCTCGACGCGGGGTCCCGTTCCTCGACGCCTGCTGACTTCTCCTTCTTCCTCTAATGTAAACTGGAATTCTTTACCAAACTGCAATATTTACAAGTTTGTTCAAAGATTTTGTGTGTTATTTTGAGGGTGAATTTTTATTTTGTGTGTGTGTGTCTCGTGGTTTTAGCTTAGTTTGCGGTCACTGATTTTCCGTTTTTTTTGGTTTCCTCCTTATATTTTGTACCCGTTGTTGCAACCCGTTCTCGCAAATTTAATAAGTCAATATTGACTTATTAAATATGTGCATAGGTGACATACTTAACATAATAGATACCCTTAAAAAGATTCATAGAAAACACCGACCTTACCTAACCTTGTTAGTATCTGTTATTTATATACGCACGAGGCAGTCATGAATACATTATTCCTGCAACACCTTATACAGCCGTTATACATCAATAATACACAATTTTGGTATTTATTTATACATCTGAGTGTTTTATTTTTTTGTTAATCCTACACACGTCTTTACAATTATTGTATAGCCTTGTGGTATTTAGTATTATTTTGTTTCAATTACATTTTGAAATTTACTGTATCGGCCACTTTGTTTTCTCGGTTCTGTAGTTATGGATGCACATAGGTATATGTGATGGATTGATATATGTGATATATATTTATAACATGTATCTATCGATATCATACATAGCTGTGAGAATTAGTTAATGTAGATATGGGTGATGTTGGTGTGGGTGAGGTTACAGTGGGGGGAGTGGGCTTAGGGTTGGGGGAAGGCGAGTGGGATTAGGGTGGGGGGGGGGAGGTTCTGCACACGCCACAGCCCAATATATTCGAAAAATGTAAACAAAACAGACTTATTCAGACAAAATAATAATAAAAACATTCATTTTAAGTTTTGCTTGAGCCACGTGGTGCATTGTTTTGTAAACACAGCTGGCCAGTAGGGTCTGAAACCTGCGCGCGCATCAATATTATGACGTCATAGTGACGTCACACCTCGTACAATGTATAAAAGTCATAATTTTTTTATATTGAATTTTATCTCATGTTTTTTTATAAGATTAGGGTAGGTTAAGTTAGGCGAGGTTAAGCTAGGTTAGGAAAGGATGAGTTAAGTTAGGTATATTTGTAGAATATTGATGACGTATTGGGTGTTAATGAGTTCAGCCCTGTGCTCAGTTCAGCTAGAATTTACCTACTTAAAATTATCTGTTAGATTAACAAAGGATCTGCCCGAAACGCTGCGCGTACTAGTGGCTTTACAAGATTGCAAATACTATGCTGTGTATTCTCTCAAACCCAATGTACCTTCTTGTATATAAATAAATAAATAAATAAATAAATATTCCGCTATTCCTGCATATAAGAGTCATAATCCCCCATCTGTAAATAACTAAAAGTTTTGGTTGATTTTGTGACACTTGAGAGGAAGCATGGTGATGCCATTAGAAGAAATATCGAATTTAAATTTAAAAAATTTACTTTGGGATGAGGCTAGCAGTCGTCAAATATGGCGGAGCGAGCCGAGGGGAAGGCGAGAGCCCCAGTGCATTCTGGGTATGGTGCCAGCCGTGGCGTGATTGGTCGGCGGCGGGGGCTTGACCGGGTTGACCAATGGCGTCGTGTCCCGGACGTGACGTAGCATGACGTCAGGCGCCCCTGCAAGGAAGCGGAGGATCTGAGCTCGCTGGCTACCAGGTGTCAGCCTGAGCGGAAGTGTGACCGAGAGATTACCAGCCTGGGAGAGTTACAGGCCTCCAGAGGGGTCAAATTCCAGCACCTAACGTGTGCGAACGAAGAGGGTGACCTGTCGACTCCCGAGGGAGTGTACGGAAGAGCTGGTCTGGTGTGATGACGACAGGGAACTTTGGCAACTTCGACATGTGGCACTGGGAGGTTTTTTAGTCTTGACTTCCTCCAAACCAGCCAGAATGGCCGGCAGTTCAGCTAATGTAGATCATATATAATTACTAAGTATAAGTACAATTTTCCTGTCCACAGTTCCAAACCTTTATTAGGAAACCGTACATGTAAACTATTACCTCTTGGTAACCCAGATTTTTTTTTTTTTTAAATTTTGCCCCGAGGGGCGAGTTTATTGGGCAGCGCCACTCATCCTGTGAGTGGACACACCGTCATAGTGACAGTATTGGGCAGCGCCACTCATCTTGTGAGTGGACACACCGCCATAGTGACAGTATTGGGCAGCGCCACTCATCTTGTGAGTGGACACACCGCCATAGTGACAGTATTGGGCAGCGCCACTCATCTTGTGAGCGGACACACCGCCATAGTGACAGTATTGGGCAGCGCCACTCATCTTGTGAGCGGACACACCGCCATAGTGACAGTATTGGGCAGCGCCACTCATCTTGTGAGCGGACACACCGCCATAGTGACAGTATTGGGCAGCGCCACTCATCCTGTGAGTGGACACACCGCCATAGTGACAGTATTGGGCAGCGCCACTCATCTTGTGAGCGGACACACCGCCATAGTGACAGTATTGGGCAGCGCCACTCATCCTGTGAGTGGACACACCGCCATAGTGACAGTATTGGGCAGCGCCACTCATCTTGTGAGTGGACACACCGCCATAGTGACAGTATTGGGCAGCGCCACTCATCTTGTGAGCGGACACACCGCCATAGTGACAGTATTGGGCAGCGCCACTCATCCTGTGAGTGGACACACCGCCATAGTGACAGTATTGGGCAGCGCCACTCATCTTGTGAGTGGACACACCGCCATAGTGACAGTATTGGGCAGCGCCACTCATCTTGTGAGTGGACACACCGCCATAGTGACAGTATTGGGCAGCGCCACTCATCTTGTGAGTGGACACACCGCCATAGTGACAGTATTGGGCAGCGCCACTCATCTTGTGAGTGGACACACCGCCATAGTGACAGTATTGGGCAGCGCCACTCATCTTGTGAGTGGACACACCGCCATAGTGACAGTATTGGGCAGCGCCACTCATCTTGTGAGTGGACACACCGCCATAGTGACAGTATTGGGCAGCGCCACTCATCTTGTGAGTGGACACACCGCCATAGTGACAGTATTGGGCAGCGCCACTCATCCTGTGAGCGGACACACCGCCATAGTGACAGTATTGGGCAGCGCCACTCATCCTGTGAGTGGACACACCGCCATAGTGACAGTATTGGGCAGCGCCACTCATCCTGTGAGCGGACACACCGCCATAGTGACAGTATTGGGCAGCGCCACTCATCTTGTGAGTGGACACACCGCCATAGTGACAGTATTGGGCAGCGCCACTCATCTTGTGAGAGGACACACCGTCATAGTGACAGTATTGGGCAGCGCCACTCATCTTGTGAGTGGACACACCGCCATAGTGACAGTATTGGGCAGCGCCACTCATCTTGTGAGCGGACACACCGCCATAGCAGCGTGTACAACACTCCCCAATAGGAAGAAAACCCGCTGGGTTGTTCATCCCAGATACCATGCTTCCATACACACACCGTAATTCTACCGGTTTATGCTTAATCTTTTTCACCTAGAGGGGCATAATTTCGACTTCTATTTTCTGTACTTTCCAGAGAGCAGACCAATTACACTGTCTACACTGTTTGCAGCAGCCGAGTACATCGTATTTCCTGAGGGCACGAGGTAATACCCCTTGTGTAATCTGTCTGTTGGTTCTAGCACCATAAGTGGTTCCATTGATGGTTCTAGCACCATAAGTGGTTCCATTGATGGTTCTAGCACCATAAGTGATTCCATAGATGGTTCTAGCACCATAAGTGATTCCATAGATGGTTCTAGCACCATTAGAGATTCCATAGATGGTTCTAGCACCATAAGAGATTCCATAGTCTGATGGTTCTAGCACCATAAGAGATTCCATAGATGGTTCTAGCACCATAAGTGATTCCATTGATGGTTCTAGCACCATAAGTGATTCCATAGATGGTTCTAGCACCATAAGTGATTCCATAGATGGTTCTAGCACCATTAGAGATTCCATAGATGGTTCTAGCACCATAAGAGATTCCATAGTCTGATGGTTCTAGCACCATAAGAGATTCCATAGATGGTTCTAGCACCATAAGTGATTCCATTGATGGTTCTAGCACTATAAGGGATTCCATAGATGGTTCTAGCACCATAAGAGATTCCACAGATGGTTCTAGCACCATAAGAGATTCCACAGATGGTTCTAGCACCATAAGAGATTCCATAGTCTGATGGTTCTAGCACCATAAGAGATTCCATAGATGGTTCTAGCACCATAAGAGATTCCATAGTCTGATGGTTCTAGCACCATAAGGGATTCCATAGATGGTTCTAGCACCATAAGTGATTCCATAGATGGTTCTAGCACCATAAGTGATTCCATAGATGGTTCTAGCACCATAAGAGATTCCATAGTCTGATGGTTCTAGCACCATAAGTGATTCCATAGATGGTTCTAGCACCATAAGAGATTCCATAGATGGTTCTAGCACCATAAAGATTCCATAGATGGTTCTAGCACCATAGTCCATGATGGTTCTAGCACTATAAGTGATTCCATAGATGGTTCTAGCACCATTAGAGATTCCATAGATGGTTCTAGCACCATAAGTGATTCCATAGATGGTTCTAGCACCATAGTCTGATGGTTCTAGCACCATTCCCCTCAGTGGAACTCTATATCCTGTTACAACCTGCGGGTATTCTACATCCTGAGGATGAGGTAGGATGCAGGATGCCCCTCATCCTTACATATCAATTATGTTTCTGATAATGAGGACAAGTTTCTCATCAGTGGATATCCAACATCCTGATTCTGGCAGGACTCTCTTTAATGAATATCCAACATTCTGATTCAAGCAGGACTCTCTCCTGTGGATATCCAACATCCTGATTCAAGTCGGACTCTCCAGTGGATATCTAACATCCTGATTCAAGCAGGATTCCCTCCATTAGATATCCAACATCCTGATTCTGGCAGCATTCTCCCCAGTGGATATCCAACATCCTGATAACATTGCAGACAGAGAAGTTTTCTACACAGTGATAGGAGGCTGTGATGGGCTTGAAGAAATAAAAAAATTATCTACATAAATAAAGAACAAAGAAATGTGTAAATTTTTAATATCCATTTATTAAGAGGATCATTATAATTATTATTACTTGCTCATCAACTCATTTTTGTTAATAATATGTTGAGAAAACATGATGATATATTTGATATTTGAACTGGCTGTATCTCGGTAAATATGTGTGTAAAAGCCTTGATATTGCAAATTAGCAAAGAAAGAATTAACAGAAAGAAAAGACAATAGTTGCGGTAAATCTAATGGTAATATTTTCAAAACGATTCTATGGCTGGTTTTGATTTTGAGTTTTGTGAAAAATGACGATTTCGCCGAGGCAGGGATTCTTGCCTGGCAGCTGGGCTTGGCGCCATCTTTTGGTAATTACTTACTCACTTCCCTGAGGGCTGAGCTGTGTGGCCCTCATGTCCCGAGGCTCCATGATGGTTTTTATCTTTTGATCCCATTTTTATTACTTGATTTAATCATTGACTAATTTCTATATCTATAAAAAATAAGGTAATTTGTTTGCAAAAAATTAAAATACGTTTTTGCAGAAAAATGACGGACTAGCTGTGTGATGCATCATATAGAGCCGCCATGTTTATTTATTTATTTAAAGAAGAGTTATTCACACAATTATTTTTTCTTCAAGAGCACTAGTCTGGATATCCTACATCCTGACGACTATGGAGGCATATCGTAGAGCTGTTGATATCCTGCACTGTGAATACTGTAGGAAGGTCTCGTCTCGCACGTAAGGATATCTACTTTTTTCAGTGGACATCCAACATCCTGATTCTGGCAGCACTCTTTGCAGTGGATATCCAACATCCTGGTTCTGGCAGCACTCTCCCCAGTGGATATCCAACATTCTGATTCAGGCAGGACCCTCTCCAGTGGTTATCCAGCATCCTGATTCAGGCAGGACTCTCTCCATTGGATATCCAATATCCTGATTCAGGCAGGACTCTCTCCAGTGGATATCCAACATCATGATTCTGGCAGCACTCTTTCCACTGGATATCCAACATCCTGACTCAGGCAAGACTCTCTCCAGTGGATATCCAACATCCTGATTCAGGCAGGACTCTCTCTAGTGAATATCCAACATCCTGATTCGCGCAGAACCCTCTCCAGTGGATATCCAGCATCCTGATTCAGGCAGGACTCTCTCCATTGGATATCCAACATCCTGATTCAGGCAGGACTCTCTCCATTGGATATCCAACATCCTGATTCAGGCAGGACTCTCTCCATTGGATATCCAACATCCTGAATCAGGCAGGACTCTCTCCAGTGGATATCCAACATCCTGATTCAGGCAGGACTCTCTCTAGTGAATATCTAACATCCTGATTCAGGCAGGACTCTCTCTAGTGGATATCCAACATCCTGATTCAGGCAGGACTCTCTCTAGTGAATATCCAACATCTTGATTCAGGCAGGACTCTCTCTAATGGATATCCAACATCCTGATTCAGGCAGGACTCTCTCTAGTGGATATCCAACATCCTGATTTGGCAGGACTCTTTCTAGTGGACATCCAATATCCTGATTCAGACAGGACTCTCTCTAGTGGATATCCAACATCCTGACTCTGGCAGGTCTCTCTCCAGTGAATATCCAACATCCTGATTCAGGCAGGACTCTCTCCAGTGGATATCCAACATCCTGATTCGCGCAGGACCCTCTCCAGTGGATATCCAGCATCCTGATTCAGGCAGGACTCTCTCCATTGGATATCCAACATCCTGATTCAGGCAGGACTCTCTCCATTGGATATCCAACATCCTGATTCAGGCAGGACTCTCTCCATTGGATATCCAACATCCTGAATCAGGCAGGACTCTCTCCAGTGGATATCCAACATCCTGATTCAGGCAGGACTCTCTCCATTGGATATCCAACATCCTGAATCAGGCAGGACTCTCTCCGGTGGATATCCAACATCCTGATAACATTGCAGACAGAGAAGTTTTCTACACAGTGATAGGAGGCTGTGATAGGCTTGAAGAAATAAAAAAAATTATCTACATAAATAAAGAACAAAGAAATGTGTAAATTTTTAATATCCATTTATTAAGAGGATCATTATAATTATTATTACTTGCTCATCAACTCATTTTTGTTAATAATATGTTGAGAAAACCTGATGATATATTTGATATTTGAATTGGCTGTATCTCGGTAAATATGTGTGTAAAAGCCTTGATATTGCAAATTAGCAAAGAAAGAGTTAACAGAAAGAAAAGACAATAGTTGCGGTAAATCTAATGGTAATATTTTCAAAACGATTCTATGGCTGGTTTTGATTTTGAGTTTTGTGAAAAATGACGATTTCGCCGAGGCGGGGATTCTTGCCTGGCGGCTGGGCTTGGCGCCATCTTTTGGTAATTACTTACTCACTTCCCTGAGGGCTGAGCTGTGTGGCCCTCATGTCCCGAGGCTCCATGATGGTTTTTATCTTTTGATCCCATTTTTATTACTTGATTTAGTCATTGACTATTTTCTATATCTATAAAAAATAAGGTAATTTGTTTGCAAAAAATTAAAATACGTTTTTGCAGAAAAATGACGGGCTAGCTGTGTGATGTATCATATAGAGCCGCCATGTTTATTTATTTATTTAAAGAAGAGTTATTCACACAATTATTTTTTTCTTCAGGATCATTAGTCTGGATATCCTACATCCTGACGACAATGGAGGCATATCGTAGAGCTGTTGATATCCTGCACTGTGAATACTGTAGGAAGGTCTCGCACGTAAGGATATCTACTTTTTTTAGTGGACATCCAACATCCTGATTCTGGCAGCACTCTCTCCAGTGGATATCCAACATCCTGATTCTGGCAGCACTCTCCTCCAGTGGATATCCAACATTCTGATTCAGGCAGGACCCTCTCCAGTGGTTATCCAGCATCCTGATTCAGGCAGGACTCTCTCCAGTGGATATCCAACATCCTGATTCAGGCAGGACTCTCTCCAGTGGATATCCAACATCATGATTCTGGCAGCACTCTTTCCACTGGATATCCAACATCCTGATTCAGGCAAGACTCTCTCCAGTGGATATCCAACATCCTGATTCAGGCAGGACTCTCTCTAGTGAATATCCAACATCCTGATTCTAGTGGCAGAACTCTCTCCAGTGGATATCCAGCATCCTGATTCAGGCAGGACTCTCTCTCCAGTGGATATCCAACATCCTGATTCAGGCAGGACTCTCTCCAGTGGATATCCAACACTCTCTCCAGTGGATATCCAACATCCTGATTCAGGCAGGACTCTCTCCATTGGATATCCAACATCCTGATTCAGGCAGGACTCTCTCCAGTGGATATCCAACATCCTGATTCAGGCAGGACTCTCTCAACAGTGAATATCTAACATCCTGATTCAGGCAGGACTCTCTCTAGTGGATATCCAACATCCTGATTCAGGCAGGACTCTCTCTAGTGAATATCCAACATCCTGATTCAGGCAGGACTCTCTCTAATGGATATCCAACATCCTGATTCAGGCAGGACTCTCTCTAGTGGATATCCAACATCCTGATTTGGCAGGACTCTTTCTAGTGGACATCCAATATCCTGATTCAGACAGGACTCTCTCTAGTGGATATCCAACATCCTGACTCTGGCAGGTCTCTCTCCAGTGAATATCCAACATCCTGATTCAGGCAGGACTCTCTCCAGTGGATATCCAACATCCTGATTCGCGCAGGACCCTCTCCAGTGGATATCCAGCATCCTGATTCA